CTCTTGAGCAAACTTCCATCCTACGGCCTCCCAGAAAAGCTTTGCAGATGGGTGGCTGACTTTATCTCTGGCCGCAAGATATCTGTCGTAATTGACGGATTCTCCTCTTCATCCCACAACGTCAATGCGGGTGTTCCCCAGGGATCGGTCTTGGCTCCAACACTGTTTCTCTTACATATCAACGACCTCCTTTCCTGCACGATCAACCCAATCCACAGCTTCGCTGATGACAGCACTCTACATGCAGGAATTCAGTGTGACAAGCCGATCTCTGCCGCTGAGCTGGAAAAAAGAAGACTAGCGACGACTTCCTCTCTGACAAGAGACCTGGAGGCTATCACTGCTTGGGGACGCAACAATCTTGTACAGTTCAATGCTTCCAAAACACAGTACTGTACTTTGACGAACAAAAAGCGTCCTAGCGCTCATACAGTTTCGATGGACGGCCGAGTTCTACCAAAGAACCATTCTTTTCGGTTGGTCGGAGTCCAGATCACCGAGGACCTGATCTGGCACGAACACATCTCTTCAATAGCTGCAGCTGCTGGGAAAAAGCTAGGCTATTTGTTTAGGGCTAAGAAGTACTTTTCTCCGCATGACCTTCTCACTCTATACAAGGCCCAGAAGGCCTAGCCTCGAGTATTGCTCACACATTTGGGGTGCTGCCGCCCCGACTACATTGTCCATGCTCGATGCTGTCCAGAAGAGGGCGGTCCGACTGATCGATGACTCTTCTCTAACAGACAGTCTCGGGACTCTTTCGCACCGGCGGGCCGTCGGCGATCTGGCTCTTTTCTATCGCTACACCAACGGGCTTTGCTCCTCAGAGCTCTCTTCCATGATGCCGCCGCGCGATGTGCATACCAGACAGAGCCGCCTGACTTCGGCGTCCCATCCTAACCTTGTCAAACTTCGTACATCCAGAACTGGCCGATACGACCGCTCCTTTGACCCGAGGGTGTCTAGATTGTGGAACAATCTACAAGAGGAAGCTTTTCCCAGTTCTACTAACCTTAGGCAGTTCAAAAATCGTATTAACAAAATTTCTTTGGGTTCATCATACCAGCCGCGGTGTTCCGGCATTTAGGCTTCTGCCTGCGCGGCTGTTTCGATATAAAAAAAAAAAACAGTTTTCTGTGTGGTGACATTGTCACAAAGCTTATCAGTTAATTACGCCAACGGCTGTTGTTTATTTGTAGTTTATTTTCGTTCTTTTTGCCTCAATATTTGCATTTTTATTTTATAAAAACAGATTATTTCAAAACTTTGAGTTGTCCTTTTAAGCATATTACGACCTCTGGGTCGACTAGCAAAAGAATTCATCATTTCTGACATTTTGAGACCGAACGAGATCATGGAGCTCCATTATTGCTTTTACAGTCTGTAAGAGAGGTATTAGGTAGTAAATAGAATTTATACTAGCTCTAGCGTTTATAAAACATACGCTCCGTAATGTTGGTTGCGGCAAGCCATCGAAGACATAACGTAGATTTTGTAAAACCTCCTAGGAACTTTAATTTTAATTAATGAGACAACCTTGTGCGTCACTGTCATTGTTTGACGTTGTGACGTAACTGCTTTGATCTAGTGAATAAACTATACAGGGTGATTCACAAGTCGTGACCAAAAAATGAAACACAGGACTGCATTTAAAGGGGGGTCTTCTATGTAACATTTTTACCTCGAGGATTCATTAAAAATATACGGGGTGTTGAAGTTTAAAAATAAAAAATATTTTTTTCAATATCTTCAAAACCGTCAACTGGAATGAACTATAATTTATAATGTGGATTTACCTAAGTATTGTCCACAGTCAAAAGTCTTTACTTAAAATTAGCGTGCATCAGTGGCGAAGATACAGGCGATTAGTGACATTATTTTTCCAAATAAAAATAGCACTCCACTGTTTTTTTCCGAAACGCGCAATTTTACGAATTTTACCTTCGATTTGCTACCAATAATTACTCTTGTGATTTTTTCCTAGAGTGCATTGTTTTCGTAAAAATAGAAAAAAAAAATACAAATTAGATAATCAAAGCTTTATTTCAATAAATGTTCAAAAATACCAAAATCTTTTTAATAAAGAAAAACGAATTTTCGCAAAATTTGTTGTGGCTTGAATTTGATGAAACGCATTATCTATTCTTTCGTGTAACTGATCAACAGTATTAATTTGTTCAACATACACCAGTTGTTTAAAAGCGCCCCACAAAAAAAAATCCAGGAGGTTCAAATCAGAAGTCCTCGCAGGCCAATGTATGCGTCCGTTTATGCCAATCCTTCGTTGTCTAAATTGATTATTTAACCATACGGTTATGTCGCGACGAACATGCGGTGGGACACCGTCATGCTGTTACTACATTCGTACTCTCGTTGCTAATTCTCTATAAAAGCTGAGTATGAGTTTGCATTTAAACGTTGTGGCACTAAGTGCATAAAGAGTTAGCCAATGAAAATGCCGCACCAGACATTTCTAGAAACGTGAATTCTTACAGAACGGGGATTATCTAACGACCAACTATGTTCATTATGAGAATTAAAGGTTCCACTCCTCATAAAAAGCGATTCATCTGACAACAAAACCAAGTCAATAAAATCTGCATTTTGATTATGCATTTCCAGTAACCACTCACAAAAATTGCGCCGTTGCACTTCGACGCCGGGTTGCAGACATTGCACATTTTGCCGATGGTAAGGATGTAAAACTTCCCGATTTAAAATTCTCCACACGCAAGACTTTGGGAACATGGTAAATGAGCCTAGTACTTGTACTAGGATCATCTAACGCCAAATTATTCACTTCCAGTTCCTCTTGAACAGTATGCTGGACACAATGGCCTCAAACTCCGGGAAGTGTGGCAATTCCATATTGCCGAAGTCTTAGAAATGAACGCGTAAAAACCTTTGGAGTAGGTTGGCGTCTGTTAGGAAATCTAAGTTGATACTCCCGAGAAGCCGCTAAAGCATTTCCATTACAGAACCCGTACTCAAAAATAATATCGGCGTAGTCATCATTGCTGAATTCCATTTCACAACACTCAAAAATGTAAAAAATAAACTTATGACTTTACTTTTACAAAAAAGAAACTGTAGTAGTAACGATAACAACCTAACTTTGACAAATTATCTCCCAAGAAACGTCTTGTTGGTATCAAGGCCTCTTTTATTTTGAAATTAATTGTATCTCGGGTCTTCGTGAATGATCTAATTTGTTTTATTTTTCCGAAGAAAAACAGTGGCATACTATTTTTATTTGGAAAAGTAATGCCACTAATCCCCTGTATCTCCGTCAATGGAGCACATTAATTTTAAGTAAAGACTTTTCAATGTGGTCAATACTTAGGTAAATCCACATACCAAATTTTTGTTCATTCCAGTTGACGGTTTTGAAGATAAAAACATTGTTTTTTATCTTTAAACTTCAACACCCCGTATCTTTTTAATGAAGCCATCGAGAAAAAATGTTACCTAGAAGACCCCCTTGAAACGCGGTCCTGTGTATGATGTTCCATTTTTGGTCACGATTTGTGAATCACCCTATATAGAGTAAAGCAAAGCTGAATTAAAATTCAACGTAGATATCAACTAATCCATGTAATACATATTGGCTCAGCTTGGGGAGAACCCTGTACATGAACAACTTTGTCATAGTTAATTTTGAGAAAAGTGAATGTTTTCAATGAAAAGTGAGTAAAAGTGAGATGGATCGAAAAAAGTGAGAAAAAGTGAGCCGCCAGCATCCCAGCACACATCTTCCCCGTTCCGTCGCGCGTCATAGGAAAAACTGACAGCTAATGCTCCATCCCTATAACCAATTTGAACTTGTCATTAGAAGGAAATAGTCTAACACCAACAAATGTTCCACCGCAGTTTTTGCAAGAAAAAGTATCAGTTGCTGGATTATATGGTGTAGTATATAATTTTCAATTATGTTAGTTTACAGTAGATAGAATACAGAATGGCATGAGCGTCCGACCGAACTTTCGGTGTCAGTTTCGGCCGAAAATTCCGCCAAAGGTACAACCAAAAGCCGTCGGGCTAATGTAACACCTACCCACATTTTTTCATTGTTTTCTTGTTTATAAATTTTGTGTAAAAATACTGTTTTTGTATCATATGGCTAAGTTCAATAAGGTACAAAATAGACGCCGCACAAAACATTTAAGTGAAATTCGGAACATATTTTTTTTAATTTTATGTTTATAGTTTTTTGGCAGACGTTAGGTACACGCTTCAGCTTTGTTCTGTCTATTCGGTTTCTTGTTGATAGCTACTTAACTTGTTATATGGTGTAAACCAAAATGAGGTTTCTTTACCCAAACTTTAAGACACTCTGTGTGGGGACTCGTCAGCCAACGAGAATGGAATTCATCTATTATTAAGAACCACATCTTTTCCATAATTCATTTTTTTACTCATGTCAATTAATGTAGCAGTTAATGAAGTTTTATCGTCAGCGTTTTTATCAACAATTTACAATTTTTTGTATCTACTGTCCCAATTAAACATTTTTTAATGAAACTGTACCAAAATCCGCTTTGTTTTATTGGTACATCAAGTTTCTTCAAATTATAATTTATTTTGTTTTTTATACAAGCCTGACGAAAACGAAAATTTGTTTTAGAACACTCTGTATAATAAACGCTAGAAATTTAGAAGCATTATTCTGTTTCTCAAGAGAGAGTGTTTTGTTTAACTTTTTTCCTAATTATATGTCAATGAGACTAATTCATGACTGATTTCTATAAAAAAAAATCATTTGGGATACACAACTACCGACCCTCCCTCAAATAAGAGCCGTCTTTTTATTGAATTTTTATCAAATTATTTCTTTATCAAATAATTGCTTCTATAAGAATACCATATCCCTCAACAAGAAGTTTCTGTTTCAGAAGAAACTAAAACTGATACTAAAATTTTTGTTTCAGTTAAAAAACTTGTTTCGGTCGGACATACCTACTGCTAAAATATCTCGCAGAAACCAACACAGATTGTCATACCTCAAAAAGTTTGTGTTCTCTACACTCAAACCATGTTTGAAGGACAGGTCACAATCAATATTTGTGGGAGCGTGGAAGACTTGTACGATTGGTGTTCTAGCTCCAACTATTCTCGAAATATCTTGAAACTCTAGTTTAGACTTGCCCAGCAGGTTAGCTACTTTTCGTACAATTGTAGCTTGACTCTGAGTATCTTGATTTTTCGTACCGGTATACATATTTCCGGTATCGATGAAGATATCTAAATCGCTGAACTGAAAACAGATGAAGGCGTTGTTAGTTACAATATACACTGACTAAAGGTCTCATACACAAGATGACTTCAAGAATGTTTCAACTTCATACTCATGTTTCATTTTAGCCCAATTTTCCAATCTCGGATTAAGTGTAATTTTTCTGTCAAGTTGGGTTCCAGAACAAGTTTTTCAATGGCTGGATGTGTTCTGTTTACTTTCCGGCCCTGTAGTTATAACTTACTGTATATAACGTTGTTTTATGTTTTGTAGCAATCATCATTACAGTGTAGGTTCAGTCATTGGTGACAGATAACGGAAAGCAATTAACCGAACATAGGTTTACTGAAAAAGTCTGTATTATATTGTGCAAAGAGATGACACTGCCACCTATGAGTAGTTCGCCAAGCGTGGTACTACCGACCACTACTTCAGTAGCAGGAAATCAATTTCCCACCATATCTGATTGACAGAATGCTTCAATGAAGTGTCAACAACAACACATGCAGATCATCAATCTTATGTTTTAAAAAGTCGTGCTTGGAATAAGATTACCAGGATCTATAATGAGAATACCAGAGTGAACATGTTTGGGAAAATATTAAACAAAAGTACTAGTGTGCTTATGTAACAAACAGTTAGGCAAATAAATGAAACCTTTATAAAGTCGTTTTTGGCAAGGATATTTCCTAGCGTACAATAACAGGAGTTTTTATTTCTCTTCTTCGGAGTTTTTTTTTTGGTTCACCGTATGTCTAATCATATTAAACCAAAATACCCCTGGTTTGCGAAATAATTGTAGAGTCTGGTTTTATTGATGCAAGTTGTTTAAGGGGGTATTTAAAACATGAACGCATAAAATTGGTACACCGAGTTTTTTGGGAAAACTTTTTATTCTACAACAAAGAATGAGAAAACATGTTTTTTGGGATTCAGTCGAAAGTGTTGGCAGAAACGAAAAAACTCGCCAAATAAGATTTTTAGGTATTTATGACACCTACAAAATGAGACCACACGTAGAAAGATCCGTCTAATAGTAAAGAAGTTATGGCCGAAAATCGAGGCAAATTGCACGTTTTGACACTTGCTGCTAATGCGACGATAATTCCACGCAGCTACTAAAATTCTTCATATCCGTAGGCTTCATACTTTCTAGCAACCAGAACAAAATTGGAGTCGATTGGTCAAGTAGTCTTTGAGAATCTAATTGTTTCATAGGGCATTTTATAGCAAAATACACGAGTTTACCTTGCCGACATAAATCACAAACCATTCCGAAGGATAATTGTTGTTTTTATGCGAAAAACGAAGGGTTGCCTTTTTTTCTTCTAAACAAATTCAAACATTCCGTATTTGTGAGTAGTTGAACAGATATTCGAAAAACATAGGCTATTATACACATTTTAAGACAAAGAGGATGCGTCCATCATCTTTTAATTCCTAAACCACGAGGCGTCGTAGCGTAATGGGAGAGAGCGGTGATTCCTGACACGCAGGATGGACGTTCAAATCCACAAAGCTCCTTTTTTTTGCTATCATTTTTTTTTTAATTTGGAAGAATATTCTTTTTTTCACATATGTGTACTTTTATTGCGATCAAACAGTTTTTCGCACCCCATAGAGAATGTAAGCTTGCAAACAGGAAACCAGCGGTATACGTATGATTGTTTATAATTTTTTTTATATTACTTTGATGAAATTTCAGAAACACTATGTCATGCTACATGCTCCATACTAACTAGTCTAAGACAGCTTGAAACATAATTGTCTCTTCATTTTGCTTATAAGCAGCGCATTTCAGTATGAAATATTTTTTTTTTCATAAACTTTAGGGCTCATCTGTGACCGTGTAAAAATTTCAGCTCTAAATATGTATAGACAAGAGTATGAATAAAAATGAATAAAACATGTTTTCTTCGCAACAAAAGGTGATGGACACATCCGCTTTGTTTTAAAATGCGTATAATAACGTATGTTTTTCGAATATCGTAGCGAATCTGTTCAATTACTCACAAATAAGAAGTATTTGAATTTGTTTAGAAGAAAAAACGCAACACTTCGTTTTTCGCGTAAAAACAACAATTATCGTTCGGAACGGTTTTTGATTTATGTCGGTAAGGTAAATTCGTGTATTTCGCTATAAAATGTCCTTTGAACGAACCCTATTTATTGCTCGGTAAACTAGTAGTGATGGGCGGAAGACAGGTGTTTTGGGATAAACAATTAGAAATTCTCACACTACTTGACCAATCGACTGCAATTTTGTTGTGGTTACGTAGAAGTATGAAGATTACGGATTTGAAGAATTTCAAGTAGCTGCGTGAAATTATCGTCGCATTAGCAGCAAGTGCCAAAACCTGCATTTTGCCTCGGTTTTCGGTCATAACTTTTTTACTATTAGTCGGATCTTTTTACATGTAGTCTCATTCCGTAGGTCTCATAAATACCTAAAAATCTTATTTGAATAGTTTTTTGGTCCTTGCCAACACTTTCGATTGAATCCCAAAAAAACATGTTTTCTCATTCTTTGTTGTAGAATAAAAAGTTTTCCCACAAAAATCGGTGTACCCATTTTATGCGTACATGTTTTAAATACCCCCTCGAATAACTTGCATCAATAAAATCAGACTTAACAATTATTTCGGGTAAATTTGCTAATATGATTAGACTAGTACTCATTATTATGAAACACCGTCGAATAATTTACAGACTGAGTAAAATATTTAAAAAATTTTAAGCTGTCCAATATTATAACTGTACAAATTGCAATACTGTGCTGATATAATGTTATTATTGTGTGTCTGCGAATTTATTTCCGTATTATATTCTGGTCGCTCTGCAAATAAAAAATCTTGTAATGTTGTATCCAACTCGCCATACTAATCATTTGATTGCCTATCTATTCACGATGTTCGGTTTTCGTGTATTAAATTATGCGCCACACTCCAGTGCATTGAGATCACCAACCTGACTTTCGACTTCTTGAAGAGGACGATCCCATATTTTAGTGTTTTGCTGTTTGAAATTGCACTTCTCTTTTTTTATTTCTATATTCATTCCACTTATCATCTAAAGAATTTTATAGCCATGAATATACCCTTCACTGGTTTCCTTTATTACTATTTTCAACTTCTCCTATAAGCTATATTTGTTAGTTCTCTCGATTTATTTTAGGTTTCTCCCCCAGTTCCAAAGGTATCTCTTTTCAACGCAGATGCTGAGTTTTGATTTTTGCCTTTTGATAATAGAATCTCTAATAGATTTTTTGCGGCAATGACGACCGTTACGGTGTAATTGGTGTGTTTGTAATGAAAGAAATTGTTTAAAATCTGCAAATGATGTAGCTCGCATAACGCTCCAAAGATATTTATAGTTGCTTCCCTATATTGCCCCACCGGCTTATAATTAGTCTTCACACCAATTTTCGCATTTAAGTCACCAAAATAATTTAATTATTAAATAAAAATCATTTAATGCTACCAAGGAATCATCAGTGGGACCTATCACAACCATTTCAATGTCAAAAAGTGTAATTGTAATAGTGGCCATCAGATCTCAAACTAGATCGCAGGGACTTACGCACTTTAGCAACCGTTTATTAACCAATACAGACTTGTGATCTTTGAGACTTTTCAACTCCCGACGAAAAGTGTACTTGATTATTAATCGACTCGCTTCCTTTACCCTTCTTTTTGGTTTCCGACAGTGCTATGAGATCTGTATGATGTTCAGTTAACTCACTTGTTATTTCTATTATCTTATTTGTGATAACATTAACGCTCCATGTTCTGATGTGCAATATCATTTTCACAGCCAATCGCCGCCTTGAAGTGCTTGTTCTATGAGAGAAGTTTTTGCTGGTGAAGGGCTAGTTATCCGTCGACCACCCCAAACTGGAGGGCGAGACACCTTTCTATCGGGATGCCCATCTCCATAGTCTAGTTGTCAAGGTTTTATGTCGGCTGTATAACAGGCGCCCATTGACTGCCATACATTACCGGTGGTCACGCGGGTCTCAAGAACCTTGTGAACGTAGAAGATAGGACTTGTTGGCAGAACTTAATATTCAGTAGTTAAATTCCTCCTTGAAACCCCTTACCAACCTTCGATATTTCATAAATATGAAAATGTGAACAACAAAGTTATTTGTTTACTAGTTCTAGTGTCCTTACACCAATTTGCAAACTTGTAACCATAAAGTGTATTCCAAGTTTTGACAAAGTCAATACAGCGACAAGGAATGCAGAACCACAGTGGATCAATGCCAATGAGTCACGTAACGCTAAAATACTTTTTCCAATCCGCAATATATTTCAGGGAATGATTTTCAACCTCGATTGTTTATGCAGTAAGAATAATGATATGTCATTACAAACGTTTTTGGAGGACCTGTTCTGCAAAAGTTATTTTACGTGCACCAAATTCACTAAATTACTACCCTGTAGAAAGCAATAATTGACGCGCGAGGCCTCTCCGGGTGAAGCAACTGTTCTACAAGGTCCAGTTCTAGAAAAATGTCGATATCTTAAAAAGTCTGGACATCAAAGGTTTCCAGCCAGTGACTCTTCTATTGGTAGCTCTATATTATTTGATGATAGCAACATACTAAGTAGAGCTGCCAATTGGGAATCAATGGTTCTAACCTCTTTGGACTTTGACGTTGATATCGCTATCAGTTATGTCTATATTTGTATCGCGAACTACGTAGAAACATGAGGCATGTTTAAAACTCCAGACATCTACTGTCACCTGGTGTAGTTAATTTTATCACTAACCGCGTGTCCCAAGCCAGAAATTCTAGATCCGAAGGGAAATGCTTTGCAATCTGGAAAAAAGGTACTGAGAGCTGCTTCTAATCTTTCACAGCAGTAATGTGTGCAGTCGCTACTTTCTGCCGTCTGATTTGCTGCGTTAGTCAGATTTCTTGACTGGAAATTTATGAATTCTTTGGACAGAAACATTTTCTTAACAGCATCAGGCAGTTTCATTTCTGCAATCAAATTGTTATGATAAGACACTATGTAGTTATGGCCAGTGCAAAACAAAAATGCACGTCGTAAGATATCGAGTAACGTTGAAGCTAACCAAATTTCTTTACTACTACTACGCCTACCAGAGATGTCAGTCAAAATTATAGAAAAAAAAACATTGATAATCGAGCTGATTTGGGATAGACATCTCTAGCTTGATGTCCTTCTTTCTTAACCATAGGTTTATCGGGGTATCAAAAATGATTAGGAAGTTTCCTGCAGTCGAATATGCTGCCAGTTTTACTTACATGTACTAGTACAAATGGTATCTGAAATAATTATTTCGATAACTTGAAATTTAAGGAAGTTATGGCACTTTGTTGTCGAGGTTCGGCCGCTACGTCACATTATACACGTTCAGATTCGGTACGCGGCGGACGACGCGCCGGCTGTCACATATTGCATTCATTTTTAAGGTTCTATATAGCAGACCAGTTTATTTTTTGTACACTGGCAAAGACTGATGTATTATAGATACAACAGTTGAAGTCGAAGAAGGTCTGTCGATTCAAGTAATCTTCCAAAGGTGGGCCTAATAATGGTTAATGGTTAAATAGCCATGCGACACTTTTATGCCGGAGCACGTATTATTAGAAAGTTAGTGCTCTGATTTATCTGCTTTGTTATGATCTTTGTTATTCTGGGCTTGCGCAGAAGCGAGACAATCGTTCATTCTCTATTATCGGAATAAGAAGCTCCGGAAGTTACGGAGAATAACCGAGATGCTAGTAAGTTTTTTACTGCCTTTATCTTACTGCTTCTGCTAGTGAAACAATCCTTCGTTCTTCATTGTCGAAATAAGAATTAGATAAGGATATTGAGCGGGGGCTTATTTCATTACTGAGCGCTGTTGCCGGAATTCGTAAAGCAGAAAAAACTTAATTGAATAATTTCATATTATAAAAACATATTGGTTAAAATATAATAGAATTATAAGTTTTAGATCACATATTAGAGTGTTCCAAATGAATTAAATTGTCATGATTTTTGTCATATAAGGAATGTGGCAAGGTAGTTTTTTTATCCGAGATTTACTGGTTTTATGGTACTTTGAGGTTCTATGATTCCAAACCTATCAATTTCTTGACCGGTTTGGGTAAACATAAAACAGATATTACTGTACAGTACAGTCAAATTACCGCGGTTCACTCTAGTGATCATAAAATCTTTTCCTTCTCCAACCACTGTTGCTTGATATCGCTGTCAATAATAACATAACGCCTACGCATCCCCGCGTTGACGCACCTAAGTTTTGGGAAGTATTCCCCCTCCAGCCACAAAATGATCACTATAAAAATATTCATATTATATGAGAATAAAAACAATAATAAAATATAATCCAGTTCTTGTTCACACCAATTAGGTTCTTTAGCCATAATAGGCAAATACACAAATATGTAATAACAACTGTTATGATTCTTTTTCCCATATTAACTAACATCAAAATGAGATGCACAGCAGTATCATGATATTTCTGGAAGATGCGATCTTATCTTCCCTGTACATAACCCTGCAGCACTTTTTCCTAATTCTTGTTTTGGCACAGGTAAATATGCTTTTCTGGAGCTGATATGCCTGCATTTGCACACCTAGGTACAATACAGTATTTGTAAGTAGAAGGCCTGACCAATTGTTTACCCATTTTTACCGTAAAGCGTAAATACAGAGCAGAGCAACGTTTGTAAATGACGCGAACGGTGCGTTGGGCGCAACGCCATGTGGTGGCAATGGTAGCAAGACAATTCTCCAAGTGACAAACTTCTGAGTTGCGTAAGTTAGGCATTTTTTAAGATACTACCTTCATCAAAAAGTTCCAGCAATGGTCGCCGTGTGGCGCACGTGGTACTTGACTGTCAATTCTGTTTGTTTTGTTATGGTGCTTAACTATCACTGATATTCCCTACGAATTTTGGCGTCATTCCATTATCAGTTGTCAAAGCTACGTCGAGATGAGTACATGTGCTTTTGAGCGTGTTCACGATTTATTAGGGATTTTAAAATAGATCTGAATGAACAACAACGCGTTTGCATTAAATTTTGTGTTAAAAACAATATCAGCGGTACGCAAACCTTGGAAATGTTAGGAAAATGCTTCGGCAACGATGCATTGAAGAAAAGAGCCGTTTTCGAGTGGCACAAACGGTCGTGAGTCCATCGCTGATGATGAGCGCAGCGGCATGCCATCGACATCGAAATCAGAAGAAAACGTTGACAAATTGAAGAAAATGTTGGCCAACAACAGCAAATTAACTATTAGAGAGATTGCAGAGGACTTAAGCATTGCTTATGGATCCGTTCCAAGCATTTTGGTCAACGATTTGGGTCTCCGTCAAGTTGCAGCCAAAAGGCTTGAATTTCATGTTGATATCGCCAAAGACATTATTTCCATCGCTGATTCTGAACCGACAATCATCGAACGCATCATTACTGGAGACGAGAGTACGACACGCAGGCGAGTGAATGGCGCGCACCAGATGAGCCGAGACCGAAGAAACCGCGTCGTTTCCAGTCGAAAAAGAAGGAAATGCTCACGGTTTTCATGGATTACTACGGCGTGGAGCATAGTGAATTCTTGTCAGAAGGTCAGAGTGTCAATAAGGAGTACTATTTGGGTGTTTTGAGTTTGCGTGAATCAATCCGTCAAAAACGCAAGGATTTGTGGGCAAGCAACTCGTGGATCTTGCACCACGATAACGCCAAAAACAACACGAATACCATTCAACAACCGCCCAATTCAGCTGATTTGGCCCCCAGTGACTTCTTCTTGTTCAATCGAATCAAAAAGCCACTGAGAGGAGCTCTTTTCAGCAGCCGAGAGGAGATAATGGAAAAATCGAAGATGGTCCCAATAGAGATCCCTAACATCGAGTTTAAAGAATGTTTCGAGGACTGGATCAAGCATTGGAATAAGTGCATCGCAGTCAATGGGGACTACTTTGAAGGGAACAGTATCGATTTTGAACAATAAAATTGTATTGTCTATTTTTTTAATAAAATCCGGGAACTTTCTGATCAAGGTGGTATTCAAAATTACGAGTATTTTCAGTACTGTACTTCACTTTACTTAGCGTATCACTATCACGACTATCATTTTTGGTGTGCTTTAAAAATAAGACTATACAGGACAATTACACCGCTACTGAAACGGTTGGAAAAAATATCCGAATAAAATGTACCTTTCAAAAAACAACATCAGCCTTTACCCTTCAGCTCGGTTAGCTTAGTCAATATTGGTATTTCGTATAATACCAACCTCCGTGAGTTCTTTACATGTTACTGTATGGATGATCATTACGTGCAATCTTTGTTTTGAACAGCCATCCTTGAGGAGAAAGTTTTAAAATTTCAGTACCTTTCTGTTGTTTCTTTTTCTTTCCTGATTTCACGGACAAATGTCGAGCTAATGACAGCTCGTCTCCAAAAATGACTGTGTTGCAGACTGTACATTCATACTCGGTTACTCTTGGTTTTCGACTTTCTGCCATGTTAATGTGACTGAAATAATACAATAGGTATACCCAGTGTGGAACAAATAGAATAAATTCGTTATGAGAAAAATCAAGTCAATTTTAGATTAAAAAATTACATCCTACTATGTAAAAATTTCAAACGCTCATCTACACCCTAGAGTGGTGGTGAGAGCCTCTGGATTTTAAATGAAAATTAAACAGAATGAGTAATCACATATGCATTTGTAAACATGAAGGCCTTTGACCACTATACCGTTTCATACCAGGATTCTGTCATGGCTATGACCTGCGTAGCAGGCGATGACAGCACATAGTGGTTCAAATGTGTTAGACTAGTTTTATCTTCTACGCCACCGGAGGAGAATTTTGAAAATGAGATATGTTTTTTGGATGTTTTACAGGGTGTCTTAATAAAAGAGGAGGAATTCTTACGTCCGAATATCACCTTGGCCATGACCTTGACCATTTCAAGATCAAATCAAGACGAAACAATTTGCTTTAGCAAAAATTTTTGTTACAGTACACTTGCACGGTTTGTAGGGATCATTCAAAGATGACCTCGACAATGATCTTGACAATGGCCTTGACCATGACCAAAGTCAAGTCAACATTTTCAAAGAATGCATCATTTTTGTGGTGGAAATGGAAAAAGCAAATTTAGCATCCGAATGTGACATTGACCTTGAGTAACATTTAACCTTGACCTTGAGGTCAAGGTTACATCCATAGAATTTTCTATTTTCTCCATTTCTAGAGTAAAAATGAGAGATTTCATTCATTTCATTTGCTAGAGCAAACTGTTTTCAACGTATTGATTAGACCTTGAAATGACCTTAAAGGTGTACAAGGTTTGTTGATTTTTTCCTAGGGTGTATATATAGGTACTTTGGTGGAAAGACTAAAATGGGACACCCTGTATAACATCCACATCACGAAAAATCATGGCTCTCATTTCCGTTGGTCTATCTGTCCGTTTATTTAATCTAATCCTTAGCCCGTTTATAACTTGGAATGTACTGCTCGGATTTTGATCAAATCTCCACATAAGGTTACTTCTATGCCATGGACGAATAAAAAGCTTTGCAGTTTTTATAAATCGCTCCAGTAACGGCGGAGCATAAGGCAAGAAAGGGAAAATTAATATCGCTGGACTTCGTTTTTTGACGTTTGCGTATCCTAATCAAATCCAGAAAAAACTTTGGTAGGGTTAAACATTGGGGGTTGGGTGTTGCAGGGAGTGAGGCAAAGTATATTTGATTTTTTTGATGTAAGTATACTCAGTGACATTAGAAGTGTTGTACCCAGAAAAAATAATTCTTTCAACTTGATTTTTTGGCAATGAGGTAGTCTTACATCAAGAATGAAACGATAACATTCTCACGAAATTTTATTGACAAGTAATAAGAAAAAAAATTAATGCGTTGGGCGACCCCGCAGCTGAATACACTCATGTAGACGTCTAGGCATCGACAAAATGAGATGATCGATGTCTGGTTGTGGCACCTCATTCCAAGCAACTCGTGGATTAGCTATGGCAGAGTTTGTGGCGAATGATGCGTATATATCCAACACATGTTTGATGGGACTCAAAACGGCAAAACATTAACGCCTGCTTCTTGAAGAAAGTCCGTAGAACGACGAGCAATATGGGGTCGTGCGTTGTCTTGCTGAAAAACGACGTGTAGACGGCACTCTAGATACGGCAGTACAGTGGTTTGTAGGACATCATTAACATAACGCGCCAGTCATATTGCCTTGAATAAAGAGAAGAGGTGATCGGCTACCATAGGCAATAGACCAAAAACCATTACTCCAACAGTCCTGTGCACATGCCTCTCAACAGCAAATCCAATATCACGCTGTTTTCCATGGCGGTGTCTTGCCCTTCTGCGACCATTGTGCGTACCTAGATAGAATCGCGATTCGTAGCTGAAGAGGGCATTATGCCATTCTGCCTCCAAATGTTGGCGTTTTCTGCTCCAGTTCGAACGTTGACGACAGTGGTCCACAGTCAGAGGAAACACTAACCGTGGATGGCAAGAAAAAAGTTCAAATGCTTGAATGCGGCGATAGAGTGTACGCATAGTAACAGGTCTACCTTCTTCTCCAAACCATTGGTCAGCGATACGATATGACGCGTAGTAGCAAAACGGCCTCGTAGGGCTAGTTGTCATTGCAGTACAATTAACACGGCGGCCAATTTCTCGATAGAACAAACCAACATCTCGATAGTCAATAATTCTACATCTGTCAAAGTGGGTAACGTGTTAATTTGGACGTCTTCGAATTGGAGGAATTTGTTATGCTTAACACTAGTAAATGAAAGGGCAATAACTAAAAATATCTGTACTACTCAGCTCTCAGAAACAGCTTTCTTCACAAAAACTAAGAGATAAAATTTTAACAAAGGTAAACAAAAACAAAGATAAAATGTTGACACTGTTGCCACAGCATGCTTTAAATATAATCATTATGTTGCCAAAAACCAAGTTGAAGAAATTATTTTTTTTCAGGGTGTAACACGTCTAATGTCACTGAGTACACATTTATACCTGTCACACGAGGCGCTGGTAATCAATTAGATGAATACAAACGATAAAAACTCAACATCAGCGGTGGACATTGCTGCGCAAAATGGTAGAGATGGAGAAACAAACATCACAATGTACAATATTGCAGGTACAGAAGGCGATGTAAAGAGGGGGACAATACCGTCCCTCTTCAAGATATAGCGTTCTAAATCATACATCGAATGTAGAAGGAGTTTGATATCCCACTAATTCATCCCAGAGAAACAGGCAAAAAAAGGAAAGCTGTAGCACCGTCTACAGAAGAGGTTGAATGAGCGATTTTGGAAAAGAAGCTTAATCGAAATGTATATGATCTCATAGATAATCTAGATGCATTGAAGTATAAATTGGCAAGGTTAAACGATATCGTCAACGCAAGTCAAAATATAAGGAAGGGCATCAAGGACTCGTGGATCTCCAACGTATTGGTGCCAGTTTGCATAAGGACTCCCTAAAGAGGTGGTTCGAATCCGTAAAGTGTTATCACCCACTAGCATACATTTACAAATAACGATCACAAAATTAAAGACAACCATTATAAAAGGCATAAGTTACGAGGAACAGTTGTACCGAAACCTCATAAATTCAAAATTCAACAGTTTAGGGTTTAGCACCAAAATGATATATTCTACCTAACAAATTAAAGAATATTTAAAAAAAGACAACATAAATTAATAGTTAATATGAACATCAAATAATTCAATAAGCTATTACTTCTATAAATACTCGTGTTTATACCAATTATACAATTGTATCATAAATTTGATGGCCCTTTTACAGGCATGCTTCGTATAGACCCAAGCATTATATTTATTTACTCCATCGCTTCAAACTGTTTTTTTTTTAGGAGTAAATAAATATTATTATTAAGAAAATAGAAACTCTGTAGCTTCAAGATGAAAAGAAAAAGATATTTTGACTTTTAAATAAGGTTTATGCAACCAAATGTAGTCCAAAAGCAGAATTTTAATTTTCGTACTTACTTATTGGGTCCAATTTCAAAATGCTTCTGCCACAAATCCTCGGCTTCTATCTTGATGTTACAAATTTCGCAGTAGTAATCATATTTTTCTGGTTTTAATCCAGTCATTCTATAGTGTTGCAGATTCTTAATGTGTTTCCTCACTACATCTACATCTTTATTTAATGTCACGTCACACGCTTTACACTGGATTCCGTCCGCAGTAACAAGCAGGAATAGATGATGATTTTTAAAACGATTCGGTAGAAGATCCAGCACATGATTACTTCCCTCGGCACCCACCGATTTTATTATATTGTGCGATTTTATTTCAAGTTTATTTCCCTTTTCGGATTTAGCTTTAGAAGTTACTTCATTTGATGGATCTGCAAAATAACGGAATCAAGTAGCATTGACGATTCAGGTCCTTCTCATTACTATTCAATATACTATATAATAAAGGGTATCCCAAAAATTCACGGAAGATTTGAATCGCGTATAAAACATAGTTTTCTTCTTTAGATTGTTATTTATCATAAAGAATACAGTATTGGGTTACGTGTAGAGTGGCACATCATGGAAATGGCCTCTTAATTTTTGCTGGCACATTACTTTATCGGTATTTCCTGTGACCATTTTACATGAAAATGTCCGAAATATAAAAATATAATGGATGTTCCATCTAATTTTTTGAGAAAAAACACATTTTGCGTTTTTGATCACCCTGTATTGATCAATAAAAAAACCGAAAAATGGATGAATTGGGTTGGAATAATACGAGCCCCTTCCCACTTCAGTTGGCCCAACTATTGAAATCTTAGTTTTTCCTTATCAAACACAAATAATAAAAATGTGGCACGGTGTTATAGGTTTAAAATATTAACAATGAATATTTTGATAATATATACTCGAAACCACCAACTTTATCACTCCCTAATCAAATTTGCAGCATAAAAATAACACATGTTGCAATTACAGCATATCAACCTATTTACATTTCAATGCAAAATAAGTCTATGAACGCATAGGTGAGAGGCCCACAAACTGGGATTTAGCACTTGCAAGGTAAGTTTCCTTATAAAAAAAAGTGAAGTAAAAACCCTAAAGTTGCACAAGTTGTTTATAGGCCAAAGAAAAGCCACTATTAACTCCACTGCAAAAGAAAAATCGGCTTTGATGGGCTAAAGAACATAGACAATGGACACCTCAACAATGGTGTGCAATACAATGGAGTGATGACGCCCGATTCGAAGTTTTTGTTGGTGAAAGTCGCAGTAGAGTTATTTGCAAAAAAAAATGAAGCATTCCATGTTGACTGTCCGAAGACAAGTGAAATTTCCAGCATCCATTATGGTCTGGGGCAGTATGTCATCAAAAGGAGTAGGAAAACTTCATTTTATTGATGGAAATGTGGATACAAACAAATATTTGGCAATTTTAGAAGAATCGGTTTTTACCAGTGATGGAAGAATGTTTGACATCCGGCCAAGATTTTGTGTGTCAGCAAGATGGTGCAGCGTGCCATACCTCAAAAAAGGCTATAAAATGGATGCAAGAAAATAATGTACCACTTTTGAAATGGGTTTCTAGCAGTCCAGAGCTGTCACCTATTGAAACTTTGTGGCACGAGATGAAAAAGGTTCTACGACAACATCCTGCTCGTACAATCACCGAACTGAGACAAAAGCTTCAAGAAATATGGGATTGTTTTACACCAAATTTTTGCCAAAACTTGGTTAACACTATGCCCCAAAGAATTTCAGCCGTAATAAAAAATAAAGGTGATGTTACCCAATGGTAATCTTTCAATTGTTGCTTTGTTAACTTCGCGCATTTATTCCCACATTGTTTATTTGTTCAGATGTTCTATTAGTTATAGGTCTGAGTGATTTCAAATATGTATTTTTTACGACCAGAGTGTATCTAAAATGTTTTTGAGAAAATAAATTGTTTTAGAAGTAAATAGTTTCGTCATGTTTAGTTTATAAAGGCATATTTTGGTAGCAAATCTTGAAGTGGGCCAACTGAAGTGGGAAGGGGCTCGTACTTGTTATCACTGCGGATGTGCAAGCTATCAAACTTTAATGTTTTTCCACACAATAGTAACTCAACAAATAATAATCGTGACCCATTACTATGGTATATCAATATTTTTATTTTAAAAGGCCCCATCTGAATATATACGTACAGGGTGGTCCAAGATAAGGATCCTATGCATGGGGATCTCAATACCTGTGGGAGATATAGCTTAGGTTAAATTAGGAAAAAGCTGCGTTATTTGGGGCGAATTTACATGCCGTTGAGAAACTTTCATGGCTTACTGAGGTATTTGGGAAAAACTAAAATTTGGCCAAATCGTTTTTCTATCTGACGTTATTTTGAGGAATATAAAAAAAAACTAATGAATTCGCACTTTTTAGGCACTACATGATGGTGTTTTTAAATTTTGTGCCCGACGTAAAGAGCTTTATTATCGTCAAAGATGCCATGCGGTCATTTTAGCAATGAAGAAAAGTTCGACATGCTGACGTACTACATTTTGTGCTACAAAAATACTAAAAATACTGCAGAAAGTAAGTCCATTTTCTTAGAGTTGGCTCGAAATTTGAATCAATATGGTTCATTTAAAAACCCTGTTACGTCTCGAAAAAAGGGATCTTTAGAGGAAACTCAGAATAGTGTTTTAAACGCAGTTGCTGAGAACTCTGAGATATCAATTAAGCAAACTGAGAAAAATGGAGTGGCCATAGCCCAATTTATTTTGCGTAAAAACAGATATCACCCCTATAAATTCAGGACTTGCCAAGGACTTAGACCAGGGGATAGCAAACGGCGCCAGCATTTTGCACCCTACTGAGCGGGGCCGTGGCAAATGCTTGTTCCGGAAGTTGTATCCAGTATACAACTTCATGCTGTTTAAGTGATTTTACACGCGTTAAGGAATACCTCAGTACCGATTGTCGGGTGGCGGTACAGGTCCGCCAACGGGCCACTTTTGGTCTATTTAATATCATTAAAACGTAAAAAGAAGCTGGTAGACAAGGAACAGTCGACCGAGGCGGTACCACTAGCTAGCTTTTTCCAGGGTCTCTTATAAATGTCCGCATGCTTCCACACCTAAGCTATGCAGTCGGTTATCTTCCAAAACAAACAAATTAATGATGATGGATCCCTCGAGAAGTAAGAATTCCGGACGTAAACTCACTCCACTCGGAATGTCCGGGTGCAGGGTGGGCTCGAGGGAACAACATTGAAGATAAAATTTGTTTTACGAACATCTGCAGGATTAACAGCAACATTGATGCTGTTCATCAGTACCTGCCATACTTTTCTTGGCGGAGACAAAAATCTCCGAGTCTGCACTGATTAACCATCTTAGCTTCCCAAATTACGAGGTGCACTCCAATCTGAGAAAGAACGGGGGAGTTGTGGCTTTTGTCCGCAGCAGTCTTTCCTGCTCCAGAGATGTTTCTTTGGAATCAGACCGGAAGGACATTCTGTGGCTTCGCCTCAACTCCAAAACATCACCCAAATTTATTTGCTGCCTTTATGGCTCTCCCTCGGATCATAACTGGGATCACCCCGCTTCAGAGATAGTTCTTCTCGGTGATTTCAATGCCCATAATGAGCTTTGGTTGGGCTCAAACAAGACCGATGCAGCAGGTCGTGCAGTCGAAGCGTTCGCTCTTACTCAAGGGATGAGCTGACCCAGCTGGTGACGAGCCCTACTTTTTTCCCCCGCGTCTCGTCACACGCCAGTAGCCTGCTGGATCTCTTTCTGACCACGCATCCTGTCCCTTACAGCACTGCTGTCCTGTCCCCCCTGGGTAGCTCAAACCACGATGTTGTGAAGGTTAGGTTTCGGTCAGAACCAGCTGTGGCAGCAGAAACTCGTACAGGCAGCAAAACTTGGCATTACGGACATGCCGACTGGGAGGGGCTCAGAGACTTCTTCTCTAGCTTCCTTGGAAAGATGTCTGTTTTTCGATAACCGAAATTATCCACGTCGGAATGGAGGAATACATCCCTCACACAGTGAAAGTGCCTAAACCACGATCCAACGGCTGGTTTAACAAATCGTGTGACACTGCTCGCCAGTAGATCAAGGCACACAGAACCTTCTTACAAAACCCCACTGTAGAGAACAGACAAGCTGACGTAGTGTCAGAAACAAATATAACGAAGCGGTTCGCAATGCCAAAAACCAGCACGATATAAAAGTTAGGCACAGGGTAATGTTGCAGCGCAATGGCAGTCGATCTCTCTGGACGCTGGCCAAGCAGCTTGAAAAGAACTTCTCACTCAGTAGCCTTCCACCACTTACGTGTCAGGATGGAACGATTGTATCGGACTCAAAGGCCAAGGCGGAAGTGCTTGCCAAGATCTTTGCTGCCAACACCACTATGGACGTTCCCCCCAACGACCAAGTGCCGTCAATTCAAAGGGTTCGCTACACTATGCGGGAGGTAACATTCAGGCATAAGTCCGTAAGACGAGTGCTCTTGTCGCTCGACATCAACAAAGCTTCTGGTCCGGACTTGATTCCTGCCATTGTACTGAAGAGGTGTGCATCGGAGCTTGCTCCAGTTCTTTCGCGTCTCTTCCAGATATCTTATGTATCCGGACCCTTCCCAGAAAACTGGAAATTTGCTCATGTCCAACCCATCCCAAAAACAAAAGGATCTAAGGCCGACCCTTACAACTACAGGCATATAGCTCTGCTTTCTGTGATAAGTAAGGTGATGGAGAGGTGCATCTGGACTACCTCGACCGTCACAGCTTGATTAGCGAGAGGCAGTATGGTTTCCGGCACCAGCGATCTACAGGGAACCTCCTAGCTTACGTCACGCAATTGTGGAATAAGCCCATCCTGTCTTATAGTGGCTCATGTCGTTACTCTTGACATCACGAAAGCGTTCGATCAGCTGTGGCACGCTGCCCTCTTAAGCAAACTTCCATCCTATGGCCTCCCAGAAAAGCTTTGCAGATGGTTGGCTGACTTTATCTCTGGCCGCAAGATATCCGTCGTAATTGACGGGTTCTCCTCTTCATCCCACAAGGTCAACGCGGGATTGGTCTTGGCTCCGACACTGTTCCTCTTACATATTAATGACCTACTTTTCTGCACGATCAACCCAAACCACAGCTTCGCAGATGACAGCACTCCACATGCACAAATTCAGAGTGACAAGCCGATCTCTGCCGCTGAGCTGGAAAAAAGAAGACTAGCGACGACTTCCTCTCTGACGCGAGACCTGGAGATTATCACTGCTTGTGGTTACGCAACAATCTTGTACAGTTTAATGTTTCCAAAATACAGTACAGTACTTTGACGAACAAAAAACGTCCCAAATTTATTTGCTGCCTTTATGGCTCTCCCTCGGAT